ATCACCCAGCCGGCGTCCGAGACGGGCACGTTGCGGTACGAAAAAGAGCCACGTGGTCCCGACTCTAAAATGTAACAAAGGACCCAATGTTAATATTTTGGGTGATTAATGTTTTATATTGATAATTTGTTCTGAATGAAAGTTTTATGGAAGATACTGTACGATGTTAAGTGCCTCGACTATTGTTGCTAGGAATATAGGCCTACAGTGTTGTGGCTGCCGCGACGCTCATCAGCCGTAAAAGACAAATCTTAAAAACAAGCTTAGAAATTTTAGTTTATACACAGAACAAGTCATCAAAACCAGTCTAGCAAAACGCAGGTCCGCCACCCACCCACCCACCCACACACACACACACACACACACACACACACACCAAAAGAGAAATAACATTGATTATACAATCTATTACGATAACCCTTATTGTCAGGGCGCTGACGCTGATTCTTCTCCACTCACCATGTACCTTACGACGCCCAGAGTTTTAGGGTGCTGAATAACTTTCCCTTCTTCAAATCAGCTTTTTCTGATGACACCGCATGCTGGTTATGACATTAATGATTTTTCAACACACTCTGAAAATGACAAAAAAGCAAAAATTCTGCCTACCTAAAATGAGCCTGTACTTCGTTATAGGGTTGATGTAGAAGGGGTGAAAGAACATCTTCCCGCCCGCTAGTGGAACGTTTCCATCGATTATATCAGCGTCCGTCACGGCGGACATATCTATTCCAAAGTAGTCACTGAAATACTGTACTGCTCCTCGTCCAAAGTCTATCACACTTTGATTGCTGAAAAAAATGTGAAATCAGAATACAGAGTTACCTTAGCAGTTGTCTTTCGAAACTCAGTGGATCAATTGATCACGCGGTAAACAATCAAATTGGTCGGCCATATTTGATTCGCGGACTAGTAACACGTAGTCCGCGGATCAATTGGTTGTGAACGCGCTCATGTTTTAGTGATTTATATATTGCTTTGTAAGACGACATTCTTGGCGCATAGAGTTTTACCCTAATCGCCGCAAATTTAGACCCACCTCACGCGAATTCTCGGATTTTTCTGCCGACAGCCTGGTTGTATTTTTTTCCATCGGGAAATCTTTCAACAGTACTACACCTCACAGATGTGGGAAGAATGGCACAGTACTGTACAATAGGGACATCTTCGTCACTTTGTACTAATTCTTTCCACAAAGTCACTCTATCGAATATATAGTAACAGTTAGACAAGAAATACTCACTCTTTTCTCCCTGCACAACGATGATGCTGAAGAAACCTGGTGGCGTTTCTTTCTAACCCCGTGTATATTCCGTCAAAAGCGAATAAGAAGATGTGTTGGTACACCCCGGGGTCAGGCAGCTGGGCATTACACTGACCATTGCGTCTGGCACCGCTAAGCTGGCGTGTGAGGAACCAGGGTGCTTGGTGAGTGGAATATCCCCTGCGGCCGTCCACGTGTAGCGGACACGCGAGGGCGCAGAGGAATATTACAACGACGCTGAAAGTATTCAAAACGTTTTTGTCCTTAAATATCATCGTGGTTACGTTATAATATATGATCGCGATTGACTGCAAAATTTAAAGGTAGGGTTTCTGGTTCCTGGAAGAGATGAAATCAGTCAAATGCAGGTATCTTCATGGAAATGGTAACTGTATTTGGGCGACCTGAATTTGAAATATGCATGGGGTTGCACTTCTTAAATAAATGTTTGAACTCTCAAAATATTACTTTCGTAAGCCACGCATGTTAACTTATGACATTATTTTAAATCAAAATAAAAAGATCTGTGTGCCGAATTCTGGAGCCAAAATTGAACATTGGCCTGTTTTTTTCTCATGTACTTATTCACTGTAGGTCACTAGTTTTTACAGACCGGCGTTACTATACATTAACTAAAATAATGTCCTGTAAGACAACGTTTTGAAGAGCACTTTTTGCCTTCGCCCGAGTCCGAGTACATAAGTGCATCTTAACTGTACTAGCCTATATGTGGTTACGGGTAGAGTGAGAAGTCAAATCGCCTTTATAGGGCCAGACACGAAAATTTTGTCAGTAAAATGAGGGTGTTAAATATATATAGCAGGAAGGTATTTAAAAAGCAAAAAAAAAAAAAAAATAAATAATAATAATAATAAATAAATAGTAATAATAATAAAAGAAATTAAAGGGATAATAACTCTTCGTTTTGGCCCCCCCCCCCAAAAAAAGAATTTTCCTGGAGTAAACAACAATTTTCCCATACTTACCAATGGTTAATGAATCCATTTTTACATTGAAAGTTAATCCCTGTTCTTAAGAGATTATAACAGAATGTAGCCATCTTTGAAGGTCACGTGGTCTGAAGACAAGCTCAGATATCAGAATAATAGCTTTAACTTCTGTTTTTGTCGTAAAACAGAATATATTATATTTTTATGAGTTATTCACAATGTTTGTATTGTGAAATATAGACCTCATAGGAAGATTTATTATCCCTTTAAATTGCAATACTTTTCAATTGTGCAACTAAATTGTAGATGCTAAACCATGAAAACAATTTATTCGAACTCAAATAAATCGCCCCCTTCTTCTTTAATACCTATCTATTTTTTTTTGTCCTGTGCAAGGAACTTCTGTTTGTAGTCCACTGATAAAGTTGATTCCATTTAGCTTAAGTCTATCACTCTTCAGTGAACAAGTGGATAAAAAGGACAAAATTGATTTGAAAATAAACCACCTACCTGAACATCTCATACACTGTACACTCTCGGAAACCTGAAGAATATATGGACTGGCGTTTCTCCACTGCCAAAGACTGTGTGAATGTGTTACTTGATGTTATAACCCACGCGACGTTAAATATGCCAAACATGGTCACAGATGAATTTTTAACAGACTTCTGTTACATCTTGGTGTCTCTGTTACAGGGTGTGTTCCCCTTGCGTTGTTTATCCAGCCTTTGGGCCTCTCCAAAAGAAGAGGAACAAAGGAACAGTATTAGGTATGCGACCGTCTATATCCACAATCTGACAAATGTGAATAAAAGAAACACGGGTACATTTAAATTTTGCATCTCGGCTTGGGTTTTTTTCCTGCTAAGGCAACTTTCACGGCGGTGGCTGTAACGGAGGATAATAATAATAATACCCTCTACCAGGGTCACAGACTGATTTTTTACTTAAAATTCACAGATATGTATCTGGCTAATTCTTTACATCTTTCTCAACTATGTAGCGGGAATTTTTTTCATAAAATTAATGTCACCACTCAGCTGGCTGGGAAAAGAGTAGGATTATACATATTACATAATTTACATAACATATGGCGCTGCTTATGTTGCCAGCTTACCAAGGATGTGAAGTCATTTCATGATTGTGTAGATCCACATAGACCAGGAATAATGGCATCGATCCATAAGTTACCGAACCTTTACCTTTAAATAAAATTGTGAATTGATTTGACTTTTGTTATATACGGATCGACACAGAAACATTGCTATCACAGTGGTTTATAGAGGCCATCATTGGTTTTATGTTATTTTTTCAATGAGAGGGCATTTCCGGAGATTAAGATCAATCTTACTAGATCGACCTAACTCCCTGGGGGTTCATGTTAAATTGCAGTCACGCGCACGGAAGTTAATTACCCCCTTACAGCTTGTAGTAGGCGGGACGGACATTTAAGCCGGATTATCTGACAGTAATCTAGTGAGACGCCCCACGGGGATAGATCGATCTAAAATCTATGGGAATGCGCCCTGAGACGATCAATATTTGTGTGGAGAATGAAACGTGGAGGTGGGTCACATCATATTAAGTTGATTTTCTGTTATTTCAAATCAAACGTAGGAAAGCTATATAGCGTTAAATAGTGTAAGGGTGCGTTCACATGAAAAATGTATTTTCTAAAAATTTAAAAATCTATTTGCGGTATCTTGTTATCACGGTCTGTGCCCTGAATACCCGACGGCGTAATTACGGGCAGCGCGGGCCAGTTACATCCAAAGCTGTAATTAATTCTCGGCGCTGCCAGTAATTACGCCGCAGGGTGTTCAGTGCATAGACCGTGATCACAAGATACCGCAAATAGATTTTTAGATTTTAGAAAATAGATTTTTCATGTGAACGGAGCCTTATACTTACTGCTACGTGAGCTACGATGTAGTTTAACGTCTTCAAACCAGACCAAATCAGGATTATAAAGATTCAGAAAGACCAGGAATAGGGACATCAGGACATAAGTTACTAAAACTTTACCTTTAACTTTACATCAGATTGTAAATTGACTTGATTTTTGTCATATACGGGTTGACGTCGATATGTTGGTTTCACAGGGTTTTACAGTGGTCGTCATTGTTATTTATTTAATTAATCAATCAGAAGATCGATATTAGTGTGAAGAAATGAGTCGTGGAAGTGGGACAAATCAAATCATGTAATGTCCCATGTAGATCCTGGAAAAAAACATCATTTCTCGGATATAGGAGTACATTTTAACAATAACTATTGTCAGAAAGATTTGAATCTTATTTTATTAAGTTATAATTCATAGCTAATTTCAATCCCTTTACGTTGTCGCTAGCATATAATGTTTCATTATATACTACGGCATTAAAGAAGTCTGTACTGATAACCAAGTATAATATTAAAGTAAGAAGTCCAAATTATGGAGTGAATACATGTGTATCTTTGGCAAAGTCGTCACAAACACATCTTTTGTGCTGCGCGACCCTTTTGCTAATAGCGATTTATATTTTACAGGCAGCAGAGTGGCGCAGTGGAAGCGTGCGGGGCCATAACCCCGAGGTCCTAGGATCGAAACCTAGCTCTGCTAATTAGCCCCATAAATTTTTTAAAACTTTTTAAAAATGTATGGTAGCTTATCATTAAACTTTAAGATGACCATTAAATTGCAATACTATACACTATACACTTAAAAGCTTGCGGTTTTTCAGGATTAAACACTGAATAGATTTCCTGCGGGCATTACGCAACAAGCATTCCAGTGGGTCGGCCATATTTAATCCGTTATTTCTCTGCTCTGAATGGGGTCATAGATAGGTTGATCAAATCTTCTCAGTATGGTAATTTTAGCCATATGCGTGTTCTCTAATCACAGAAAATCATGCTCTAGCGGGAAAAGTGAGAGTCTCTCTGCCGTTCATCACGCCTGTTGTCGTGTCTATGTTGATAATGCCGTGTGACTGTCCTTGGCCGAACTTGGTATGCACTAACATATTGTTAAACAAGTACACGCGCCCGTCGGCAAATACGGACGGCATCACATTTCTGTATTGGAATAATAGTGTTGTACCCCTGGGGTTCTCTAGGTGTGTCTGAAATGATAATATCAACAACCAGTTATTTCTATGAAACAATTTTATTAACATACAGAGGTTTATCTTCAAATCAACATTGCATTGTTTTCTCTTGTAATTTTTAGGTTTTACAAATAATCAGAGCAAAATTTCCTTTTCTATTTTTTTCTAAAATGCTATGTTTACTGTCTTTTTTTATATTTGAAAACGATACCAATGAATGCTGTTTGCGAAGGTGCATGAAAAGTGGAAACTAGAATGTGCAGTGGTTGAGACGGTGACTTCCCAACTACCACACTGCAGTATTTTGTAATAGTAATGTAATGTGGGACACATTGCCCCTCACAACACAATGATTCAGTCCAAACAACATTCCATGTGAACAAATCTGTTAAAATTATTAAAAATAAAGGTTTGATATACATGTATTTACAATATGTTAAATATTAATGAATCACATTTTCCCTTTAAATTGAGAGTTGACATTTTAAATTGAATTTTTTCCCAAAATGTAACCCCGCTTTTTGTCCTATTTTTGCAAGCATTAGATGATGTTTAGGGGAAAATATTCTTTTCACAGTCATACTAATACCATTCGAAAGAGTACTGCTCTAAGATATCCCCACATACAACATTATGTTACGGGCCAGGTAATCAATTGATCGGGACACCTGACTACACATTCCTCTTGTCACATTCCTTATGCGCCATATTTATTGAGATTGAAATACATATATTACCTTGACATACATTTAAAATATAAATATTTTATAAAAACCTCAATGCTGTATTCCAGATTTGAAATGTAAACATTTACAGAGTGGTCCATAAAAATCGATCTTTTTTTAATTGAGATGGAGAATAAAATAGGTCGATTTTTATGGACCCTGCACAGGTACAACTCACACAGCCACCATATATATATATATATATATATATATATATATATATATATATATATATATATATATAGAGAGAGAGAGAGAGAGAGAGAGAGAGAGAGAGAGTTACAATTCTTTTACTGTAAAGATCTTACCCACCTGGGCCATGTATTCCCCATAGAAAAGTGTTTTGGTTCGGTCAAGCGTCCCAGAAAACCCAGTCCCGGTAACCTGAACGGTGTCAGTCACCTCTATCACCCAGCCCGCGTCCGAGACGGGCACGTTGCGGTACGAAAAAGAGCCACGTGGTCCCGACTCTAAAATGGAACAAAGGACCCAATGTTAATATTTTGGGTGATTAATTTTTTTATGCTGACAATTAGTTCTAAATGAAGGCTTTATGGAGGATACTGTAAGATGTAAAGTGTCTCGACTATTGTTGCTAGGAATATAGGCCTTCAGTGTTGTGACTGCCGCGACGCTCATCATCCGTAAAAGACAAATCTTAAAAACAAGCTTAGAAGTTTTAGTTTATACACAGAACAAGTAGTCATCAAAACCAGTCTAGCAAAACGCAGGTCCGACACACACACACACACACACACACACCAAAAGAGAAATAACATTGATTATACAATCTATTACGATAACCCTTATTGTCAGGGCGCTGACGCTGATTCTTCTCCACTCACCATGTACCTTCCGACGCCCAGAGTTTTAGGGTGCTGAATAATTTCCCTTCTTCCAAGAAAACGCTGTTAATCAGCTTTTTCTGATGACACCGCATGCTGGTTATGACATTATTGATTTTTCAACACACTCTGAAAATGACAAGAAAGCAAAAATTCTGCCTACCTATAATAAGCCTGTACTTCGTTATAGGGTTGATGTAGAAGGGGTGAAAGAACATCTTCCCGCCCGCTAGTGGAACGTTTCCATCGATTATATCAGCGTCCGCCACGGCGGACATATCTATTCCAAAGTAGTCACTGAAATACTGTACTGCTCCTCGTCCAAAGTCTATCACACTTTGATTGCTGAAAAAACGTAAAAACCAGAATACAGAGTTTCCTTAGCAGTTGTCTTTCGAAACTCAGTGGATCAATTGGTCCGAAGGGTCATTGATCCTAAACCAATTCCTGTATAATGTGTATAAACAGCATGATGACACTATACCACAACACAACAATACTAGACGTAATTGCTGCGGGGAATCTGTTCAGTGTCTATAGGGGATCACGCGGCAAACTTTCAAATTGGTCGGCCATATTTGATTCGCGGACTAGTAACACGTAGTCCGCGGATTAATTGGTTGTGAACGCGTTCATGTTTAAGTGATTTATATATTGCTTTGTAAGACGACATTCATGGCGCATAGAGTTTTACCCTAATCGCCACAAAGTTGGACCCACCTCACGCGAATTCTCGCACTTCTTCTGCCGACAACCTCGTTGGATTTTTTTCCATTGGGAAATCTTTCAACAGTACTGCACCTCACAGATGTGGGAAGGATGGCACGGTACTGTACAATAGGGACATCTTCGTCACTATGTACCAATTCTTTCCACAAAGTCACTCTATCGAATATATAGTTAGACAAGAAATACTCACTCTTTCCTTCCTGCACAACAATGATGCTGAAGAAACCTGGTGGCGTTTCTTTCTAACCCCGTCCATATTCCGTCCAGAGCGAATAAGAAGATGTGTCGGTACATCCCGGGGTCAGGCAGCCGAGCATTACACTGACCACTGCGTCTGGCACCGCTAAGATGGCGTGTGAGGAACCAGGGCGCTTGGTGAGCTGAATATCCCCTGCGGCCGTCCACGTGTAGCGGGTACGCGAGGGCGCAGAGAAATATTACAACGATGCTGAAAATATTCAAAATGTTTTTGTCCTTCAATGTCATCGTTGTTACGTTAAGATATATGATGGTGGTTTCTGGAAGAGATGAAATCAGTCAAATGCAGGTTTCTTCATGGAAATGTTTACTGTATTGGGATGACCTGAATTTGAAATATGCATGAGGGTGCACGTATTAAATAAATGTTTGTGCGATGTTCATTTCAAAAATCTCAGAATGTTAACTTATGAAATGATTTTAATTAAAACAAATAGATACGCGTGCCGGTTTCTGGACCCAGTAACATGGCCTATTTTTTCCTCATATACATTTTTGTACATTATGTTTACTAGTATTTACAGATCGTAAATAAGGTACAGTTTTAAACTAAAAAAAATGTCCTGTATAAGCCGACGATTAAAAACCACTTTCTGTCTTCGCTTGAATTCGGCCGAGTGGGTACATATTCATGTGTATTCTTACATTTTAACTGATAACTGGTTACTGGTGTATATGTGGTAACTGGGTCGGTGAGAAGTCAAATTAGCTTGATATGGACAGGCACGAAATTCTTGACAGTTAAATTACCCTCTACCAGGGCGAGTGATAGATTTTTTACAGATATTCACAGATATGTCGCTAGCTAGATAGATGGTCATTTAAAGCTCAACTCTTTAAATGACCATCTATCTAGCTAGAGACATATCTGTGAATATCTTTAAAAAATCTATCACTCGCCCTGGTAGAAGGTACAGTTAAATGAGGGCGTCAAGTAGGTTAACTTTAATATACTGCTTCTTATAGTAGGCCTACTTAAAACAAAAATGTCTAAATTTCAATACCTTTCAGAGCGTGGTCTCAAATTACGAATTTTTTACGATTTATACCTTTAAAAGTTCTTAATTAGGCAAATTTAAATTGTACGACTAAATTGTAGGGCTAAATGATAAAATGCTCAAGTAAATAGCATCCTTTTCCTTTAAACCAAATCTATTTTTCTGTACAGAGCAAAGAACTTCTCTGTGTAGCCCACAAGTAGAGTTGATTTCATTCAGCTTTAAATCCGTCACTCTTTCATGGACATGTGGATCAGGAAATTATATCTGATATAGTTCCCTGTGTGGATGAAGGACAAAATTTTGATAAAAACGACCCACCTACCTGATCATCTCGTACACTGTTCACCCTCGGAAAGCTAAAGAATATATGGATTGGTGCGTGTCTCCACTGCCAAAGACTGTATGAATGTGTTACTTGATGTTATAACCCACGCGACGTTAAATATGCCAAACAAGGTCACAGATGAATTTTTAACAGACTTCTGTTACATCTTGGTATCTCTCTGTTACAGGGTGTGTTCCCCTTTCCAGCGCATCGTTGTTTATCCAGCCTTCGGGCCTCCCCAAAAGAAGAGGAAAAAAGGCACAGTATTATGTATAAGCTCGTCTATATCCACAATCTGAAGTATGTGAAAAAACGGCACATTTAAACTTTGCACATTGGCTTGGGGGTTTTCCCTGCTGGGGCACCCTATAGTGCCACATGTGTAACATACTGCTTATGTTGCACACTTATCAAGGATGTGAGATCGTTTCAGGACCCACAAAGACCAGGAATAAAGACATCTGTCCATAACTTAAGTTACTAAACCTTTAGCTTTAAATCAGATTGTGAATTGACTTGACTTTTGTTATATACGGGTCGACACAGAAATTTTGCTATCAAAGGGTTTTATANATAAAGACATCTGTCCATAACTTAAGTTACTAAACCTTTAGCTTTAAATAAGATTGTGAATTGACTTGACTTTTGTTATATACGGGTCGACACAGAAATTTTGCTATCAAAGGGTTTTATAGAGGCCATCATTGTTTTTATGTTTTTTTTTCAATGAGGCGATCAATATTTGTGTGAAGAATGGATCGTGGAAGTGAGTCAAAGTAAATCATATGAAGTTGCATGTATATGTATATTTGAAAATATACAACGCTTTTCAGATACCAGTACATAGTGACAATAACTACATGTATTAATTTGTAACAGAGAGATTTAAATGTTATTTTATTAATTTAGAAAAAATAGCTAGTTGCACTCTCCTAATGTTGTCGCTATCATATGATGTTTTCTCATATGTGACGACATTAGAGGGGTCTGTATTGAAACCCAAGTATAATTTTAAAGTAATAAGTTCAAATTATGGAATATATATATCATTGGCAAAGTCGTGACAAACACATCTTTTGTGCTGGTCATTCGTTATACAGGCAGCATAACTTTTGTTAACGGGAGCAGAGTGGCGCAGTGGAAGCGTGCGGGGCCCATAACCCCGAGGTCCTAGGATCGGAACCTAGCTCTGCTACTCCAAATTGTTTGCTTTTTTTAACTTATGGTAGCTTATCATTAAAATCTTTTGAAAATAATTTCACACCGTTTATTCTTTTACTTCAAATCAAACGTAGAAAAGTTATATATCGTTAAATAGTGTTATGCTTACTGCAGACAAAGTCAGGTACAGTGTAGTTTAACGTCTTCAAACCTGACCAGATCAGGATTATAAAGATTCATAAAGACCAGGAATAAGTAGATCAGGACTTGATTTTGGTTAAATACGGGTTGACATCGATATGTTGGTTTCACGGAGTTTTACAGAGGTCGTCATTATTATCTATTTAATTAATCAATGCAAGATCGATATAAGTGTGAAGAAATGAACGGGACAAATCAAGTCATGTTAAGTTGCATTTAGATCCTGGAATTTAAACGTCATTTTTTAGATAAAGGAGTACATTGTAACAATAACTATTGTCAGAAAGATTTTAATGTTATTTTAGTAATTTATAATTCATAGCTAATTTCAAACCCCTTCCGTTGTCGCTAGCATGTGATGTTTCCTCTTATACTACAGCATTTAAGGGGTCCGAGCTGATAACCGGGTATGATTTTAAAGTAAGAAGTCCACATTATGGTGTGAATACATGTGTATCTTAGGCAAAGTCGTATCAAACACATTTTTCGTGCTGCGCAACCGTTATACGGACAGTGTTTACATTATACGAAGGTGAGCAGAGTGGCGCAGTGGAAGCGTGCGGGGCCCATAACCCCGAGGTCCTAGGATCGAAACCTATCTCTGCTAGTAGTCATTTCTTTTATAAACTTATGCTATCTTATCATAAAACCTGAAGATGATATCACACCGTTCTTTGTACTTCAAGCAAACTTGGAAAAGCTAGAGATCGCTAAATGTATTGTTATGCTGTCTGCTTACAAGATGAGCAACAGCAATAACTTTCACGTCTTCAAAGCCTGTTACGTCAAACGAAACGATTATTTGTCCACGAAGTTCACTAAACAGACTTCCGACCTGAAAAAACTTGAGCATATTTTTCACACATAAATTTCTCTTCCTTGAGGCAAAGGCAACTTTTGCTCTATACAGGCATCTAGGGGAAAATTACCTTCTAGAAAATCACAGAAACCACTGCAGTGTCAAAGGATTTCGGATCGGCTACATCCTAGTGATATATCATGATCAGTATTTTAAAAAACATAATTGAAATAAAAAAAACATGTACCTATTGTGGTGAAGGCACGGTCCGCATCAAAACCGGTCAATTCAATTCCTTATTTCTCATTGCAAACTTTTGTCGCTAGACTATGAAAGGGAGTCTGCGTTACCATTTCAATCAAAACGCCATTTGAGGGCTTTCTTACCCAATAAATAAGTATAAAACCCTACAAATATATAAAATTTTTATTTTTTAAAAAATTATCCCTTTACAATGAAAACCCCAAAGGTCAGGGGGCGCCTGTGGGTCAACAGTGTGTGAGGTACCCCCCCTCCCCCCCGTATCAAAATATAATATACATATTGTGCTCTGATTAGAAATTGCACTATTATTATTATTATTATTATTATTATTATTATTATTATTGTCACTGTCTGACAGTTTTGCATTTCATAGCTGCTTCATCACAATTTCGTTTTTTAATAATTTCTGCGCCGTCAGAGGACATCATAAATAGATTATCATTGAACTGTCCTCTCTTCGTTTCATTCGACTTGGACATCAAACCTATCTCACATTTCTGCCAATTTTTTTTTAGTAAAAAACATGACGCAATAGATTTGATGGGTCTCTGGCTATAATGAATCACAGGGACGAACACGAGTATTAGCCAGTCTTAGCATTAGTCAGTCTTAACATAAGCCAGTCTTAACATTAGCCAGTCTTAGCATAAGTCAGTCTTTGCATTAGCCAGTCTTAGCATTAGTCAGTCTTAAACATAACTCAGCCTTAGAATTAGTCAGTCTTAACATTAGCCAGTCTTACCCTTAGCCAGTCTTAACATTAGCCAGTCTTATCATTTGTCAGTCTTAACATAAGCCAGTCTTAGAATTAGTCAGTCTTAAACATAACTCAGCCTTAGCATTAGCCAGTCTTAACATTAGCCAGTCTTACCCTTAGCCAGTCTTAACATAACCCAGTCTTAGCATTAGTCAGTCTTTGCAATGGTCATTCTTGGCACTTGTTTTTGCCGGGAACAGCTGTGGTGTCGAGTTCTCTGTATGCAATATACAGGTCCAGAGAACTGGGGCAACATCTCTTAGAAAAGAGAACAATGAACCCATCCAACCTTGCACAGAATTCTCGCCGCTTGCATCCTCCACAGCATTCTCTTGCTCCTGTCCCTCTTCGGCCGTCTCTTCGCCCATGGCTTCGCAATCCCTGTCTTCACGGTTTGGGCCTTGAAAAACTTCCGACTGTGTTTGAGGCATAGGCGAGACGGGGCTGTACCAGGCCGCAGGGGGCGAGGGCGGACCGCGGTCTTCAGGAGCGTCCGCAAATCCGGAGTCACGGACGTGACTTGTGTCAACAAGCGCTAGTGGTGTTGGTGCTGGTGGTGGTGGTGGTGGTGGTGTCGTAGGTGGTGGTGGCGCTAGTGGTGGTGGTGGTGGTGGTGGTGTCGTAGGTGGTGGTGGCGCTAGTGGTGGTGGTGGTGGTGGTGGTGGGGAGTCCTAACTCGGGAGGCCATTGCCACCGAGAGAACTAGAACCTGGTTGAGGTTGTCCTTCCACAGTTTCGTCGCTGAAGTGTGGTCCATCTGGGCCTTCGTCTCCAGTCTGACATGTTCCATCCTGTGTCTCCATTCCCTTGTTTTGAAAGGAATAATCAAATTATTTAATATATATATATATATATATATATATATATATATATATATATATATATATATATATATATATTACAATAGTATATTTTAGAATGTAAATATTGAAATGACGACATCTGTTATTCAAGTGTATTTGGTTGCTACACATATTTGGAACTCATATCAGAAGAAGAGCAAAACAAATATGAAAAACAAACAATGTGAGAAAATGCAATTTAACCAAAACGTTAAAAAAAACCAGCTCACAAATTTGTCGTGCAACTTTAATATTCGGCGTAGAATATCACGTAATTAAACCTGAATTAACTATTGTTCATAAAAGCACATCTATATACCTCTTGTTGGCATTCCACGCGGCCAGACTGTCTCTGGAGAAGAGGGGAAGGTTGGTCACCCCTGAAAAAATATAGAAAATGATAATAATTTAAACTTGAAATAAGCTGAAATAACAACTATTTTATCAATTCCTTCCTAGTCCTCTCTCTCTCTCTCTTATTTAATAAATGGGAGGGGTCGAAAAAGCTAAAATTTGGCATTTCTCATTAGTTTTTAAAGGGATAATAACTCTTCGTTTTGGCCAAAATATGAATTTTCCTGGAGTAAACAACGATTTTCCCATACTTACCAATGGTTAATGAATCCATTTTTACATTCAAAGCTAGTCCCTGGTTTTTTTTCCTAAAAAGTTTGGTTTTTTGTTAAAATCTCTTAAGAGATTATAACAGAGTACAGTCATCAATGGAGGTCACGTGATCTGAAGACAAGCTCAGATATCAAAATAATAGCTATAACTGCCGTTTTTGTGGTAAAACAGAATATATTATATTTCTATGAGTTGTTCACAATGTTTTTATTTTGAAATATAGATATCATATGAAGAGTTATTATCCATTTAAGTGAAATAAAATCTCACGTCACTATACAACCCATTCTGTTAGAAAAGCCACTTTGTTTAGAGAAATAAATTTTTTAATTGAAAATTGACAAAATGAAACAGGAAGAAAGGGGGAACTCCCTCTGTATCTGCCTATATCTGTATGACTTTGATAATCAAATTATTCCTTATATAATTATGATCCAATTTACACCTCATTCAGCTCTCAATTAAAGTGATTAACCCTTCCATCGGAG